GACTCACCTTTTTGTGGGCAGGGGTAAAATTTAGAGAAGGATGTTGCTCTTCCAAGTTGACCCACCCTTTGGTGAGCCACCCGAAGGTAAAATTTAGAGAAGGACGTTGCCATTTCAACTTGACTCACCCTTTTGTGGGCCATGCAGGGTTAAAATTTAGAGAAGGATGTTGCCATTTCAACGCAGGGGTAAAATTTAGAGAAGGATGTCGCCATTTCAACTTGACTCACCCTTTGGTGAGCCACCCGAGGGTAAAATTTAGAGAAGGATGTTGCCATTTCAGCTTGACTCACCCTTTTGTGGGCCAGGCAGGGGCAAAATTAGAGAAGGAAGTGGTCATTCCAAGTTGACTCACCCTTTGGTGAGCCACCCGAGGGTAAAATTTAGAGGAGGAAGTGGCCGTTCCATCTTGACGACCCTTTTAACTAAGCAAACATCCGGGAAAGGGCCTGTGTGCGCACTTGAGTCTCCCCCATGGACTGTGTGCGCAGATGAGTCAAATCTGTGTGCGCAGATGAGGCGCAAGTGCTAACAAAATGTGTGTGCGCAGATGAGCCAAATCTGTGTGCGCAGATGAGGCGCTGCCCCATCGGCGCATATCATTTCTTTGGAATTTGTGGTGGCACCAGTCATTTCTTTGGACCCATGAAGCAGGAGGCAGCCCACGCACCCTGGCTGGGCAAGTCTTGGAAATCTCTTGAAGGCAAAGGCGTGCCGTGACGCCTTGCAAGTGGGGATGGCTTTCAACATCTATCAACTCCATCATCAGCCTCAGTGGTCTTGGATGGTCTCAGTGTCTCTTTTTGTCGTCTCGTCGCATTCGAAGTTGTTCGGCCGGGCGTTTTGGAGCCCTAGGATGGTGAGCAACGACATGAGCCGCAGCCCCAAGAAGAAAGCAGATGCTCGGCTGATCTCGTGATTTGTGCTTGCCAAACCCCCAAAAGCAAGCCACAACGACCTCCGAGGCTTGTTTTTCTCCGACAGGTGTCTTTCACCTAATATGCAAGATGGGGCCATGCAGTCAGATTCCTCGAAGTGGAAAACCCACGACTCCCACGACTCGGCGCATCCCGCTGTTTTGACCCAGGAAAGCTTGCCGGATGGCTGGAGCTCGGAGCGCTTCCAGGTGGTCGAGGGTGATGCGGGGCGAGTGGGCCTGAAGAGCATCAAGTACAACAAGCTACTTGGCTGAGATGCTTGGTGTTTCGATGTGTTTAGGAAACGCTACGACCCTAGCTCCTGGCCGTAGCAAACGAGCAACAAGAGGCGACGAACGGAAGAAAGGGCGTCGCTGCGAACGGAGCGATCGGACGCTGCGTTTCGGAGCTGCGCCGTTCGGTCGGTCACCAAAGCCGCGGAGCGGGGCGGCGCCGTTCGGTCTCGGTCTCTGGGAACTCGTTTGGCTTTTGGTGGCGTTTGGCTTTTGGCAGCTTTTGGCTTTTGGTGGCGTTTGGCTTTTGGCAGCTTCTGGCTTTTGGCGGGTGTTGGCTTTTGGTGGCTTTTGGCTTGTGGTGGCTTTTGGCTTTTGGCGGCTTCTGGGGTTTGGCGGGTGTTGGCTTTAGGTGGCTTTTGGAGCATGTCTCGGATTATTCTTTTGATCATCTTTCCAACCATCTTGCTATGCTGCCAGGGCATGACCGCTGCCGAGGGCATCTAGATCAACAAAAAATATATATAAAGAGCATCAAACATATATATATATAAGGATCAAACAAAGGTAATAAAGGATCAACAAACAAAATCCTTGATAGGCGTTTTCTGCTGCTCTCCTGGCCCTGTGGTCTGCGGGTCCTCTGGTCAATTAGTCCGCTGGTCCACTGGTCCTTTGGTCCCCTGGTCCCTTGGTCCTTTGGTCCCTTGGTCCTCTGGTCCACAGGCCCTTTGGCCCCCTGGTCCTTTGGTCCTGGTCCGGTCCCGTGGTCTCCTGGTCCTTTGCACTCCTGGTCCTCTGGTCTGCGGGTTTCCTATGGTTTTCTCCTTGTTCTTTCACTGATGCTTTTTGATGCCTTTGGTCGTTTCTCTTGTAGCTTATTGGCCGCAGTTTTCCTGCAAACGTACAATGCTTTTGGCTTCGGTTGCCTCAGGTCCTTTTGTGCACTTTTAGATGCCCTTCACTGAGGGGGCGATAGGGTACATAGTTTCTAGTGATTTCTTTTGTGGTGCTGTGTGTCCAGCACCACGAAATCTGCACTCTTGCACTGCGCCTGCCACGAAAACTAACTATGTAAAGGGTCGCCCATCGCACTTGCAGATCACATATTGCACGTCGTCTAAGTCTCTCTGGGAACTTTGGGGAACTTGCTGCACATATCCTTTCATTGTCTGCTCCTGATCTTGAAGCAGGTGTGAAGCGGTTCCTTGTTGTCAACGTAGATCGCTTCCACGCAGGGCACTTGCGGAACCAAACCGAGCCATCTAACTTTTGAAGGCTTTCAATTCAGTGTCTTTGCTGCCTGTTCCTGATTGGCCATATGTTTGTGGGGTGCTGGAGACTTGCGCATGCCATTGTTTGGCACATTTTTGGAGTGTTGGCGTGTTAGTCCTTGTCTTTGGTCGTTTGAGGTGGCTGCTGCTGTCCCATCCATTCTTCTATGCTCTAAACACTGTGGCAATGCCAAATATAGGTGGATGATAGGGCCGACCTTAGCTTCCAACACCTCTGCGCAGTGAATGCTAAAACAAGGCTGCAATTAGTTATAGTTTCCATACTATAAAAGCTGTGACAAAGCCACAGAGGTGGTTGATATAGCGCGCCCCTCAGCAATGTCCAACATGTCTATTCTTTCGTTCTTTTGTGTCTGCCTGGTCCGACGTGTTTCTGTTGAAGGCTTTTGAGCCGATGCTCAACCCCAACCATCCTCAGTGGGCTAGAATATTTTTTTGATTCCCTTTTTAGGTCTTTTTGATCCCCGTTGAATATTTTTTGACTTCCTTTTTGTTTTTTTTGATCCCTTACCCGCTGCCGAGAGGATAGCTGTGCTTCGAACCACCCATCCAAAGTAATGTGAACCAGCCGACGCGAAAAAAGGCGCGCTTTGTCCTTGCCCCTAGCTTCCTTGCTCCAGCTGTGATCCTCGCATTGCTTCATTCTTTCACGCGTGAGCTCTGAAGTGTAATCTGCATTTTGAGGTTCGAAAAAGTGCTGCGCCTGCCACAAAAAGGTTTCCAGGTTCACAAAGTGCTGCACCTGCCACCTCCCACGAAAGGTGCGCTTCCAGGTTCACAAAGTGTTGCGCCTGCCACGAGGTCTGCGCTTGAAGGTTCACGAAGTGCTGTGCCTGCCACGAAATCTGCACTTCGAGGTTCACGAAATGCTCCGCCTGCCACAAAATGAGCAACTGAAGGTACTCAAAATGCAATGCCTGCCACGGAACCACTATGTGAAAGCGCTACCAAAAAAAATTCAAAAAAGAGCGCGAACAAAATTCCTTTAAAAAACTCGCCAGCCTCACTGGCTCCTATGTGACACAGTGGGTGGGAGGGTGCTTTCTGCCAGAGTGGTTTTTAATACAAACCACGGCAGACATGAACCCACAGCAGAGGACGTAGATGAGACCTCATGGTGAAGCCTCCAATGCGTCTCCATGCTGCCTGTTTTGGGCGCAACATCGCATGTTCAGGTTTGACCTTCGCAAACAAAGCAGCAACCATAGGGCCAGTCTCCCAGTGTTTCGCTTAGGTATGTGTGCATGGATCACTCGGCAGGGTGGCCCAGTTGGGACTCGAGTGGTTGGTTTGATGATGTTGGTCTCGTCGCCGGCTGAGAGTTGTTTTCGACAAATCTGCAATCCAAAGTGCAACTCAGTACCCCAAGATCACCAATCCCATCGAATGTACCGGCAAAATCCTGTAAAGCTTCATTCGATAGACTCAACCACATTTTGGCGATCCTTCATTCACGACTCACCCACCGAGGGTTTGAGGTTTCCCAAAGCTTTGGGATGTTGCATGGAAAAGCCACCACCTTGGAGCAGTTCTGCAGTTCCTCTGAACACACCAAACCAAAACCCCACCATCCCTTCCCGCACCCGGAACCCACAATGGCCAACGCTCCCTTCGCGGAGCCCAGCCCTGCCTCCCTCCCCCCCTGCCTGCGAGTTCCGGCTGTTCACGCCCAAACTGCCCGGCTGTTCGCGCTCAGAACATGAAGAATGTGGGCCACCTCAAGAACTGGGAGAAGTTCCGCGTCTGGGACGCCGGCGACGGCTCGGTGGCCTTCCACAACAGCAACCACAACCGCTTCATTCGCCTGGGCGACCGTGCGCTGGAGATCGGGTGTGGGCCGGCGGGAGCGTGGCATAAATACCTCTTCTTTGATTGTCATCACTGGTTGGTCCAGGTGTCCATCATGTCCTTGTCCAAAGATTGCACCCGAGTCCTCACTTATGAAGGACACCAGCGGCAAGAAGAACGTCCGTGACTTGCCCAGTGGCTGGAGCTGGGAGCGTTTCGAGGTCGTTCAGGCCGTTGAGACAGGGAGGGTCGAGCGGTCCACAAAAACAGGTTTAAAATGGTTTAAACATGTCAACTCTTGGTGCCAAATGTGCCAGTGCACAGAGGCCAGGTGGTTTGGGTCGTGCCAGGATGCTGGAAGCCATGTTTTTCTTGTTCTCACTGGTGTTAGAAGCAGAAACAGGCTCAGAGTCACATGGTTTTCCTCTGCCATTTCGACCGGCGGCCGCGCTGGCTTCGTTTGGAGCTTGTCAGGGCGGTCGCTTCGCGGTCGGTTTGGATTGCCTTTCCACCGGGTGGGGCCTAGAATAGACTAATTAATTAGACCCATAGCCATAGCAGTATCATGCAGTATCAGTCACACGTGCCAGATGCTTTCCACAATTCTTGTATATAATATATATATATATATGGCTAGGACTTGCTAGACCGTGGGATTTCCACTTGCAATGCTTCCAAACTAGCCAAAAGACACATTTGAGAGGCGTCTGTTCTCCCCTGCGGATCCCCACGCGGTCTAGCATCCCTTAAGGGGTGGGGCATGCTGGCCGTTTCAACGCTGTTTCTGCGCGCAGGCGGTCCCTGGGCTTCCCACAGGCAGCACCATTGCGCTGAACTGCCACAAACGCAGCTCGGTTCCGCCTCCCGAGCGTTCGGGTCTCGGACATCGGACGAGACCTACCGCAAGGTGACGCGAAGCAGAGCTCCCTTTTGCCCCTGGAGGAAAACTGATAGGGTCTCCAACTATAGAGGGCCAGTTCCAACTACAAAGGAATGAAATCACATGGAATCACCCCATTCGCGTCGAACATCGCACTGCGCCCAGCGCCGTACGTGTTTCTGTTTTTTGATGGAGTTCTTGGATGAAACAGTAGGGATCGTAGGGATAGATCTGGCTGCGGTATCTTGAAGACACTTGAACACCGTAAGACTTGCTGGGCTTTCATGAGAGGATGGTTCTTGAGGAAGACTCCTTGACCTGGACCTGCTTTGAAGACCCGCACATCCAGGCTTCCTTCAGATGAGCGGCCAACAGCAGTTGGATGGCCGCTCTGCTGCCGTAGATCAACTGGCGGATGACTGGGAATCCGTGCGCTTCGAGGTGCGTGTGCGGATCGAAACATGCTTTGTTATATATATATATATAAATGGGCCTCGGCCTTGGGGTACAACAAAGCATGCAGATGAGCCAACCGGACCTCACAGCTATATAGAATTAGATAAATTAGATATTATACATATATATATATATAGATATTCTTCCCCTCCAATGATGTGGGGGACATGAGACATTACGGGTGTATTTTCAAAAAGGTTTCCATTTGGGAAGTGCTACTGCCGAAAGCCTCGTGTTGGAGGTGGTGGATGCTGGTCATGGCCAAATCGCCCTGTTCAACACCAACCTGAAGAGCTTTGTGGAGATGACTGGCAAGGCCCACGTTCCCGGCGCTGCCGCGCGCTCGGAAGTGGAAAAACATGGTTTCTGTGGATGGTCACGCGACCTGGAAGTGGTCCGAGGTCAGATCCCGATAGGTGTGGTGGAATCATTTGCCTTCACTTCTTCGAAAGAGTGTTTTGTGTTTTGGGTAGTGTTTTTGAGGTAAATGACCCCCACAGTTGGATACAATTGGGCAAACAACAAAAACATGGATAGTCCGGGCCGGTCCGGGCGGGCCGGGCCACCGCGGGCCGGGCCACTGCGGGTCCGGGCGGTCCGGGCCGGTCCACTGCGGTCCTTCCATGTGTATAGGCCCTTTGTGGAATCCACCAAACCACACCTCAAATCCACCGCCCCGGCGTGGCGTAAGGAGACCACCTGAAGCAGTGGGCAAAGGAAGAACCTATGCATCAAGATATACCCACAAACACTTTATAGAGGATGGATCGGCTGGTGTCTTAGTCTGTGCGAATAAACCCTTTTCTAATATTGTCGGTCTACAGTCTACGGAGCTGTACTTGGGGTTTAGTTTTGATTAAACCCTTTTTGGTCGAGTAAGGGCCCTCACTCGATCACAAAGGGTTTACATCCTGATCCAAACCCCAAACCCAAGGGTATGAATATCAATCGACCAAAAAGGGTGTAATCAAAGTAAACCCCCAATACAGCTCCGTAGACCGACAACAGTAGAAAGGGGTTTATTCGCACAGACTAAAAACACTTTGCCGATCCCTCCTCTAACATGTTTGTGGATACATCTTGATGCATAGATTCTTCCTTTGCCCACTGCGTCAGCTGGCCTCCTGACGGCTGTGCCGGGGAAGGGAGTTCGCACGGGCCCGGCCGGGCCGGGCCGGGCCTCGGGCCGGGCCGGGGTCAACGGTAGACCCGGCTATCCATGAAAAAAACCATAAAAAACCTGTGTATATATAATACAGAGACTATATGAATAATAATAAATATTACTTATTTACACCGCAATATGTTCAGATGAAAAACGAACATGGAAAACATGTGCCTATAATAGAGAGGGCGCAGACCATTGCCAATTACCTCGAGTCAGCTCACTGGAAGAACGATTTAAACGCTGGAATGCCGGATGCTGCGCCAATCCTATTGAACAACGGGGCTGACGAAAATGTCTTCACTCTAGAGGAGTTAAACGCAGCATTAAAAATAATCTAAAAATAATAAACAACCAGGCCCAGATGACCTCCAAATGGAATTGCTGAAATGGTTGAATGCTGCCAACCGACAGCTCCTATTAAGGTTGATTAACAGCTGGTGGCAAAGTAAGGAAGCACCTACAGAGCTCTTTCTTGCGAGGGTCGTCCCCCTCTTCGAAAAAGGAGATACTGACAACGCTGCCAACTATAGGCCCATCTCTCTTCTGAGTAGCCTTTACAAAGTACTGTATATATGATCATGATACGTCAACGAATGCAATGCTATTAATGATGCTCTATCCAATACACAATACGGATTTCGGCCTCAGAGATCTACATCCCATGCTATTTATATCATTCGCAGGCTCCAAGACTACGCCGAGTCAAAAGGTGCCCGATTGAGTCTAGCCCTTTTAGATTGGGAAAAAGCTTTCGATAAAGTGCAACACGATAAACTAATTGTTGCTTTACAACAAATGGGCTTTAGTCAACATTATTGCGATATCATTCAAGATTGCTATAAAAAGCCAACATTTTTCGTGAAAGATGCTTTTGGATCATCCCAGGTCAAATACCAATCTTCTGGCATCAGGCAAGGGTGCCCCCTTTCCCCTTATTTGTTTGTTATTGTGATGTCTTGTGTAGATTATGAGATTCGCTCTAAAATCAGTCGTTGGGTACACAATGGCAGAGTCCCAAATCTGGATTTTGATTTAGTTTACTATGCAGATGATACCATCCTCTTTTCTACTGACAACAGGGCATTAAATGAATTGTTAAAGCTCACGGAAGCTATCTCCTGCAAATACGGACTGCGGCTAAACAAAGACAAGTGTGTGGCGATACAAATGAACAATGAAGGTTTGGTCCATGTTGAAAACCTCGAACCATTACCCAAGAAGTTTGAAGCGACTTATTTAGGCAACGAAATCAACAAGGAAGCAAACATTCGACACGAAATCTTGAACAAAATGCAAGAAGTAAGACAAACCTGGTTCAAATTGCTGCCGTACTGGAAGGCAACAAATGCAAACGTGAAATGGCAACTGCTTATTTTTGATGCGGTTGTTCGATCAAAATTGTTATACGGACTTGAAACTATACACCTCACTGACGCCATGCTGAAAAAAATGATGCCTTCCAACTACGGTGCTTGAGGAAAATCCTCAAGGTTCCGTCAACATTGAAAGACAGAAGAAACACAAATAGAGAGGTTCTGAATAGATGTACAGCGCTGGCATATCCAAACCGAGGCGACCGACGTGAGTTCGAATTGTTCAGCAAATCGCATCTCCGTAGGAAATCTAAATTATTGGGTCATGTACTCAGGGCTAGCCACGACGATCCTATGCGCCAAATTTCTTTCCAGCCCGATTGTGCAATCAGAGTTTCTTATGGGAAAAAACGAGTCGGTCGCCCGAGACAAAACTGGCTGCATTACGCCAAAAAACATACTTTTGAACATATTTTAGGTGGTTATGATTACACAGAAACTGTTGCTGAAGACTCACGAATTTATGATGCAGCCCTCACTCGAACTTTCTGATATGTAAATATGCCACGGCTTCTTTTGGCTACGCCAACGCCCTGCATTATATGACTGAAGTCAGTGCGGGGTACGGCTGGGAAAAAAAACAATTACTTATTTGGATATGATATTTCTTCCAGATTTTCTACCCATCAATGGTTGGGTTGGGATGGCTGTAATACGGTGGTGGCATTGCGGCACCATGTTCTCCAGATGCATTGAGCCTGATGTCGTCCCACCATTGCATGGGCCTGCGCATGTCGTCAGCCTTGATCTCAGGATGTCTTGCGCAGCGAAGAGACCTCGAAGACAGGGGTGTCGGATGAGGCGTGAGGGAAGGGGAGAATGAGGAAGCATGGAGCACCCCAACTCTTGAAAGCTGCGGCAGTGAATCATAGACACACACTCACACACAACAAAAACACAAAAAAACAACACTCAAGCAAACACCAAGAGTCCAAGAGCGCACATCTCTGAAATCCAATGCATGTGTTTCGGTGCTCCGTTCGGCCCTCCCTTCAGGCGCGCTTCACCGTGGTGGACATGGGCTCCGGAAAGATTGCCCTGCACAACGCCAAGTACAACCGCACCTCGGTCGGAGAGTCGGGCCGTGGTGTGGATCTTCGAGGCGTTTCTCGGTTCGGAGGGTGGGTGGTGGGTGACCCAAAGTGCCCCAAAGCCCCCACAGAGATAGTAGCAGAAGTGCACATCAAGCCAGTGCGGCCAGCGCCAGCGCGACGAAGGGCAGCGGCAAAGGCCTCTTTTTGCTGTGCACTCTGCGATTCAGATGCCAGACCTAGGGCCTATAGGGTCCGGTCCGAGGTCAGGGCACAGACCAACTTTAAGAGCTGCAAACAGTCGGAGACTCCGGAGGCCTTCCATTTGGGCCCTCTCTGACGGATTCACCGGACGAAGCAGAGCGCGAACGCGACCACGACGGGCGGACCAGCGCAAGACCAGACCTGGGTCACTGAGGTTTCGTTGGCATGAGGGCGTCCGGTGAGGTGGTCCGTAGCCAGGAGAAGGACGGAGCTCTCGGTGCTTGGGCGGCTTGAAGGGCCGTTGAGCGATGCCCTTTGTTCCTAGTAGCTTCTTGCTCCTAGTAGTAAGGCCAGGTTCCCCTAGGCGGGAAATCGTGGACGGAGTAGAGGAAACTCTTTGGGTCAGTGATCCATTGAAGATGGAAGTCATGCAACAGCCTGTGGATGGCTGGATGGCTTTGGAGCTTTCCGTGGGGTTCGAAGTTTCGGGAATCTGTGAGAGCAGCCTTGGGACACTGCGGCGGTTCCCGGAATTGGACCTTCTGACAGGTTTGTAAAGCCTCCCTTCGATATCTTCGATCTAGTGCAGAGAGTGGATGGAAAGTGGATTTTCCTTCGCTTGGGGTGTTCTATTTGTGCCACTAGTCTTCACAAGGGTGCAGATCAAAACCACTGGAATCTTGCTTTTTTGAAAAAGACTTTCGGGACCTAAAAGCTCCAAACAGGATCAAAAAGGTGTGACCATCCCATGCAGACAGAGCATCCGATCAATTCTACCAGGATGGCGACGAGCTCCCCAGCACCTGGACGGATGCGATCTTCAAGGTGGTTCAGGCACATGTGGCGAAAATTTTCCTGGGGCGGAATTCGGCTGCGAGGGGTGATTGTCAGTGGCTTGAGGAGTCTTGATATTTTTGCACCGTGCTGGGGAGGCCTACAAATGCCAGACGGGCAGCGGTCAGATGTGCAAGAGCTGCGTGGCGCCAGGAAAGCGCGAGGCACGAGATGTACTGTAAATGTTCTTACTTTCTGACACTGGCCGACTGATACGGCCTCCTCACACATGATGGCCGACTGCTGGTTTTGATGCTGTGTGAACGCCTTTGAAGAGACGAGTGAAGCTTTGTGTGCCTTTCCGTCCTTTTCCGGAGTCAACCAGACTTTCTCATTGTTTTGGTCCGGGTCTGTCCGTCAACCGCAATGAAGCCAGGCAAACCCACAGCTTTCCCACTCGTTCCACGTTCTACTTGCCCCTGCGGGCGCTCGGTACGTGAGCCAACTTGGCTAGGCTGAAAATCACTGCGACAGCTGCTACGCGGGCTACGCCTTGGTCGGTCGCACATGCAAGGAACCCGGTGCCCAAACCGACACGGACATTGGTGCCCAGTCGGATGGTGGGAGAGTTGAATGCCGAGCGTGGGAACCTGATGTAGCGCTACAGGGTGATTTGATATGATAATATATGATATAATACTGTATCAGAGAAATATCGATGAATGAACACGACAAGATCTTGATCCTTCATCGCCCCCAACTTCTCGGTCGGAACTCCTTCCACCACCATCTTCCACCTAAAACCGCCCCGGCAGGGCTTTGCGATGGTCGGCAGGATGAGCACGTGGTCACCAGCGAGAAGTCCGCCAAGGCAGATGACAAGCGCGCAGCTGCTCAGTGCCCTGAAGGCTGTTGATGAACCGAGACGCTCTTGGGGAGAACCGGTCGAGACACACGAGACACACGGACTCGACCCTGCGGAGGGGGGAACGGTCCGGCGAGGCGACCAGGACGAACAACGGCGACCGAACGGTCGGGTCTCTCGTCTCTCGTTTGTGACGAAACGACCTGAACGGTGGACACACCAGAAAACTGGATTACAGTGAGTCTGCACACTCAGAGGGTCTGCGCTTACGACGATTGGGTGAACATCTCGGAGTGCAATGGTGTCGCTGGAGCTACGCTACGCTACCAAATGGATCCAAATGGCAGGAGTGTCCAGCGCGTCTCAGTTCTCTAGTTCTCTCACCTCATCCAGCGCTTCGAACGATCCGTTGCAACCTCGTTTCGTGGACGATCCGAAGCTCTCCCCCCCGGAACCCGGGCCCGTTCGACAGCTGCCTGATGCGGCCAGGCATGTGGCTGAAGAAGTGCGAAATGAAGAAGGGTGGCGCGATTTGGTGTGCAAAAGAGGGTCTGAAGCTGTGGGTGCTTTTTGGATGCCCGGAACCGACTACCGCCTGAACCAGGGCTCCCAGAGGGAAGATGCACTGAGGAAGGTTGACGATGGTGATCTGAACTGGCACCTCCAAACAGGATGATTGTGAGGGCATCAGGCAGCCAGGTTTTTGTTCAAACGTGAGGTCTGTACATGTAGAGTGCTATGGCTTCGGATTATAAACAACATGGTGATGGTTGTATCAAAAGTTTGAACCAATGGGGAGAAAGAAACATGAAATTATCTCTTAGAAACCTTGCAACAACCAGTGGATCCCCGGTGGCTTCCTGCCGCTTCACCGCGGAACCGCCCCGCCCAGAACGACTGGGGCGACGGCGCCTTCGTGGACGATGCCTCCACCACGTGCACCGTGCAGACGGGCACCACGCGGCAACCGGTCATCGCGAAGGCAGGACGGATGCCCAGAGATCGGCCCGGGCAGATCGGCCCGGGTGGAATGGTGGAGTGCCAGGTGGAGGTGGAGATGGGGATGTGGGGGGAAAGAAGTGGTTGGACCAACTCCGCAAGGATTCGCCCACCGGTGGGGATAGAGGAATGCCCAAAAGAGACGGTAGGCACAGGTGCTTCGACTCAGTAGACGGTAGGCTTCAAAACGGAGCGGCTGTGTTTGCCGGTCACCGGTTTTTGGTCCTGCCGGGATCGTTCGTCTTGGGATGTCTTGCCATGGCCACGAATGGCTACCATGGCTTTCGGATCCCGATTTTGCGGATGTGAGGGAGGTAAACGAATCACACTGCAGATTTGGTTTAATGGATTTTGATGGTGTGGGGTTGGATGGTTGGATGGCGTTGGCACATGTTCGAAGGAATGGATACTATACTATACCTGAAAAATCTGCCTTTGCTACCTATGCTTGTCTCTGCGACGTGCACTATGTCATTGTGTGAGTGGTGTCAGCTTTCCTGAATCATGGGGGTCCTACAAATCCTGAAGGCTTGGTACTCGTGCGAACTATATATTTGCGCGAGTGAAAAGCCCTGTTCGGCTTCGTATCCAGGCCACTTGCAGTACCACCAAGACCTACGGCATGAAGTCTCAAACTGGCTGGGCTCGAGGCTGGCCTTGCATAGGAGTTCCGTGGAGTGCCCGCGGGGGCGCTCTTGTGGGCTGAAGTGGAAACGAATTCCCCACCTCGGTATATAGGAATTAATTGGTGACCCACAGGGGCCTTGTGGTGGACTTGCGGACTTGAGCTCTTTCGTTTCAATCAAGGCTTGGTTGAACCGCTTAGAGGAACCAGACATGCAGATGGCGCTTTGGTCAAGCCGACATTGCGACCCTAACTTGATAGTTCCTCAAGCAAAAAACGAGCTGTTGTCAGACCCTTCTGCTCTGCCCCGCTACCACACCTTGCCTTCAACGCCAACACTCCGGGGCCTTCACCTTCGGCGACCGAACCGACTGCGGAGGCAACCTCAAGGTGCCTTGCCCCAAAGCCATCGCTTGCACATGCTACAGCGCCTGGACGGTGAACGGCGAATGCGCTGACCTCAGCTGAACGGTGAATGATGTTCTGACTCATCACACGGGGCGGAGGAGGATCAGGAAGCACGATCGTTGTTGGTGTTCACGACCTCTAAAACAACACCAATCATCCTCATCAACAAAGCAGTTTTGAGGAAAGGAACAGCTCACATTGGAAGGTGGAAGATCCAGGTGTGGAAAATGAGCCCGATGGTTCACGCGAGGAAGATCGATTCATGTATGCAGCAGCCGCCGCTTTGCGTCCATAAGGATCTACAAGGATGTTCTAAGCGAGGGATGCGTATGGCCATCCCCAAGTACTCATTGTTTCAGCATGTTTTAGCTAGGCTAGTAGTTGTCAAGAACTTTCCTACTTTTGCATCGACTCAATCAGATTCCTCCCAAACATATATCCTGGCGACTCATTTCCCCCTCCACCCGGATCCGGGTGGCTCCAGCGTGGACCCTCGCTGACCCGTGAGGTGGAAACGTGGCGGTCTTCAACCCGGAGAATGGCATTTGCTCAGGACCGATGGGTTCAGTGAGGTTCAGTGGAAGGTGAAATGCAGTTGAACATTCTCTTTTTATTTGATAACAGTTTTATCTTGGCGATATCTTGCTTCAAGGGGGGATGGAGCTCCATCGCTGATCTTTGCAGAATGGTTCCGCACACAAGGCATCCGCAAGACATCACAAAGCCGAGGGACCCGCGGGTAAATTTGTCAGGACTGTTCTGGATTTCCATTTTGTTGCAGACCCTTGTGGCTTTTGGCATGTGGCTTTTGATGCTAGTCGCCAATCATTGGCCAATCAGTTCACAGCTTTTTCGTTATCAACGATGATTTGCTCATAGTTGACGTGCTGTGCCGTGGTTCCACGTGCCCACGACACATATCCACACATATCCACCAGCCTGCTAACCGAACATCTGCTGGATCTGAAGAACTCCCAAAAGCAGCCCTAAACCAAATTCCCCTAACCAAAACTCCCAAAACGCAAAGCCAATCTTGCGGATGAGAGAAGACCCAAAACGAGACACCCACCGACGTGGTGATGGGAGGTCGTTCTTTATTTTTTGCAAGATCTTCTCGCTTGGGTTGGAAACTTTGTGGCGGTGTTGGGGACTGACAAAAGGAGCTCTGACTGACGAGACAAAGTGGGCTTGGGGGGGGTTGGTGGCCTTGGAGGGAAAAGTGTTCTGTGATCCTCCACCCACACTGAACCAGCATGAAACACTTCATACTTCCGGATACTTCTTAGATCTTCTTACCTTCACCTTTTTTTTGTTTTCCTTTGCCAGATGTGCGAACTGCACGCGGGCACCTGTATTGTTTGCACTTTCAGCATGCTTTTCCTGCAGGGATGTCCAACACGCTGGAAACAGTAGATTGAAGCCATGTGCTTCCCACACAATCCCCCACAAAGCGGGCCGGACAAAACGGGCGTGGAAACGGTGGACACGAACGAAACAGCGTGGGACCGCCGGGGGGTGCCAGTTGGACCGCCGGCGGTCAGAGGAAGTGGTGGAAAGAGGCAGCTCAATGCGATTTGCGAGGTGCCACCGTGGCGGCGTGATTGGTTTCCTGCTGAGTCGGTGAGGGGAAGGATGGGGAAGGTCAAAGGTCATACGACTCAGGAGTACTTCAAGCGCTTCAAGGAACCTGCGAGATGTTGGCTGCCATGTTTGTGGCAGGAAGATGCAAGAGATTCCACGGTCGACAGCTAGATACTGACCTGTTCATTCAGTTGGTAAGGAAGAATCTGAAGAATCATGAAGAATCTGAATGTATTTTGTTTGTACTTTCCATGCTCTTGGATAGGCATCTTCATCATACTTCAACTTAAACTCAAACGGGTGTTTCCAAATGTGCTCGCCTCAGATCGTGTCTTGCTCCACTGGCTTGGGCGACAAGTGCAAGACCTGCAAGGACGTGCGTGACCGACAGGCCGCTCAGTGGCACTCTGATCGAAACCTGGAGACACAAACTGGCTCATTCTGATTGTGTGGATGAATACTTCCAAAGACTTTCAGGTGCCATCCTGCCCATCTTTTTGAATATGCAAATTTGGATGATGTACACTTCCAGCAAAAACATAATCTTCCGCAAGTATATAGTATATAGACAATAAAATGTGCCAATAATCAATATGCCATCCCTTGCAGATGAGTTGGCAGGCGGAGGATCACTGCGACAGCTGCAATCCGGGCTACTACATCTCAGGGACCTCATGCAAGGCCGGGCTCGGTTTACCGGCGGCGAATGTGAGAGGTTTTGCAGTTGATGCCGATAGCTTTCATTTCTTTAGATGTTTTTTGACTTCTTTGTGGCTGTATGTATCATTATGTATCTATATTTTTATGATCTGTATTAATGCCGGGTGGAAAGGTGTATCCAGGATCTGGTGGATGTGGGTCCCCCTTCGTGTGCGAACGGTGCTGTCTCCGGTGCTGTCTCCACTCATCCGCAGTATTGCCATGGTGGTTGGAGTTCGTCGGCACTGGGGCACATCCATGCTCACGGTCGCGAACGAACGGGCGAACGGGCGAAGGGGCCTGAACTGACGGGAGGTGTCGTGCGCAGCAGGGCACGGACTTGGGCCCTGCTGTAGACTTGACCTTGCAGTTTCCACTTCCATGCTCTCTCATGTTGTGCCATTTACATGGGAGAAAGACCATCCTCGAGAAATAGTAGACGCGACATGACACGACTGAGAAGACTGAGATCGTCCGAAAAGCCCACAGCGGCAATCCGTGCATTTCTCTTTCAATCCTTCCGCGCAAGGCCTATAGCTGCGAGAAGGGCAGCGGATCGGCCTGCAAGACCTGCGTGGCGCAGGCCAAGCGTACGGCCGGGCGCCCCAATGCAACCGGGCGCCCCTTCTGGGGATTGAAGCAGCTGGTGGACGGAAGCTTGTGTAGACACTACGAAGATGTACTGGCTACTATCGTCTCACTATCGAGTTTAACAGATGGGAAGCTGGACATGCAGGTTAATAGCTCCATTTGTGCTTTTCCGGTCACGCAACTGACCCTGGCATCGACCACTGATCTGAACGTGGCGAACGTGGGTGACGAGTGGCGCAACAGCTAGCTACCTAGTGAGCTAGATGCCTTTGATCACCTGCCACTTCTTTGGTATTTCAAACATCCTCTCGATGTACAGGAAAAAACCGACCTGAAGAACAGCATTTGACAGAGGACCACTCATTCCCCCAAAACGGATGCTTCATACCCCAAGGAGTGACCCCATTTGCCCTGAACCAGCGAGGCGTGTTGCGGTCGCCGACAGCATCCGTGACCGACAGCGACGGTAGGGACGTCGGACAGCGACCGAAACATCCGGTCGTAGGCGGATGACCAGTGTGCCTCCTGCAACCCTGGATGGGCGTTGGTGGGCACCGTGTGCAAGGCGAGGTTTCGACATGCACGGCGGGGCACTCCCTGAAAAAAACACTCCCTGGGGCACTGCCTGGGGCTTTGAGAGTCCTAAATGGATATACATGAGATTAAAACCCATTGGATATAAAACCCATTGGTTGGGATATAGTTTAATGGATATATCCATTTAGGATTATATCCATTTATAGGATTTGTGTGTATTTTGATAGGGGGACCTGGCAACCAAAGGGTTTTGCGGCTTTGCGGCTTGACGAACACCTGTATTAGGTGCCCCTGGACCCCTCCGGGTTTTTCGTTTTTGGGCCACAGACGACCCAACCAAATGGATTTTCTGGCCCAAAAACAAAGACCCCAAGGACATCCAAGGACCCACTGTCTCAAGCATTTCTTTTCCTTTTTCTTGCATCGATGTGGCCAATGAATCGACCTCCAATGAGTTCCAGTCTTGCAGTTGGGCATGTTCCTCTCGTTCCTTGACGTTCGTGGTGGTTGTCGAGTTCTGCCCCAAGGGAGTTCTGCAGTTGAGTTCGAAATCCTCCACCTATATACATCAACTGAGCAATTGAAACTTCCGGCGGTGGTGTTTTGGGACTTCTTCAACTAGCAACCAAACAGAACACCTGGTGATACAACAAAAGACATACAAAAAGCAACCAAGTATATATATAAGCAAGTATCCAACACTCATTGCCAAGCCCACAACAGCCACTCCACAAACCTCTCTAAGGTGGACTCCAAAGACCATCTCCCCTCTGGAGGGCCCGTGCGACCGTGCGAAGCCGCTCGTCGCGCTTCGCCCAGAAAGAGCACAAAGTGACGTCGTCCTGGTCGAAACGCGGCGACGACAAGCGGACCAGCGCTGCTTGGCCTGGAATGGCTTGATGGAGTGGAACGGGTCGGACCGCTGTGGCGGCTGTGGCTCTCTTCGTAGAAAGAGACGAGACCAACATGCCCGTAAAGAGACGAATGAGACGGATGCATTTTTTCATGTGGCAGGTCGCCAGAGGTTTTGGTCCTCCTTCACAAGGTGATTGGGGGGGGTGAAGATTTTTGGAGCTTTACCATGCCGCGTGATGAGCAGTTTATTTGCAACATGGATGGATTCTGCAAACTGGTGGCACAACTGCAACGTCGCCCAGGTGGATTGCCCTGCAGGAATGTGGGTCGCTTGGCAAAATTCAGTGAATTCATTAACAGTAGGGTAGGGGGTTCCTGACTGGAAGGATGCCTGAAGGGGGCATCGCAAAGATCACTCATTCTCCCCTGCGAATCTCGAATTCAGGTCCCAAGGCTTCAGGGTTGAATGCGACGAATTAATTTGCCCCGCCTCAACGGATGGGTGCCCAGAAGAGACAACGGCGACCCCTTCATGTCATGGTCACTGTTGGTTGGGGACATGGGCTTATTGGTAAGGGGAACAACTTCCAACCATCTCAATCCATCTCATCATTTGATCATTTGATCTCTAAGTTTAAGAAACCTAACCCTCACACAGAAGAGGTTCGAGATGAGCAATTCAAGACACAAAAACACATCACAAAAACAAACCTAGACTCTGCCCAAAACCAGCATTCCCAGAATTCAAACCACAAACACAAAAACACTCAACTGGAGACTGGAGACTCAAATAGCAGAAGGTTGACCAGAGGAAAAAAACACAGCCGGACTCAGCAAAACACTCAGTGATTGCTGCTTTGTGACTTTGTGAAGGTGTTTCATTCAATCTCTGATTCGACCAGGAGCCTAGGAGCCTACCAATGCACCAAGTAGGAGTCTAGGCTCTAGGGACCTAGGAGCCTGCCAAGCTGGAGTCTAGGGACCAGCAAAATTTCCAGGTAGCTAGGGTGGGATAGGCTCGAACTGGAATCTGCGTTTTCCTTCAAAAAGAACAAATCCAGACTCAAATCAAGACTCAAATTGGGACTCAGTTTGGCGCCCAGCTTTGCCAAAACTCAAATCAGTACTTAAATGGGAACTCAGTCTGGGACTCAGCTGCACATACTTATTTGTTCATTTGAGTCCTTACTTGATTTGTTTCCTTCCATTTTGTTTCTCATGAATATATATATATATATTTTTTTTTGAGTCCTGAGTAGACCTGTTCTCTTGAGTGCGGATTTGTTTTTCTTTTTTTTTTATATAAAAGGATTTCGGCTCTGTCTGATGAGTTCGGCCTCCAACAATGTCAATTCCTTTGATTATTTAGATATCGATGTTTCTTGGGTGGGAAGTTCCGGAGGCAAAGGCTAATGGCCGAACCTCTCGTCCGATCTGGGGGTCGATCCAATCTGGGGGAGTGGAGACTCCTGAGGTGAAGAAGTGCTGGGGAGGCCCGGTCTTCTCGGGGCGGCCACGTGGCCCAGTGGCACGGGTCGGTTGAGAAAAAATGGGTATGTGGTGTACTCGAATAGGAAGACCTACTTACTAGATCTTACTAGTCACTAGTCACTAGTCAAGCAATGGGCTTGTACATGCTTTTGTGTGACAAATCCACACTCCAGAGTAGATGAACTCTATCGAAAACATGTTCTGTTGTGGGGTTGTGGGATTGAGGAGAGCGTTCAGACGAGTTGTGCCAGTTGTGTTTGGATGTGCACTGGCTCTGCTTGCCACATAGAATGTGCTGGAACCCTACATACCCGAGTTGATCAAGGAACTAAGCATGACGCACTGTTGATTTGACCATACTACCATACCCTTCCAGGCAACACATATATCAAACCTATCCTAAAGGAAACCCTATGGAACGACGGATATGAATACCACTGGCTCGTTTGATCTATATAAGTCCATGCCATGGTGAAGTCTCAACGATCTTTCTCAAGCGATCTTCATTTTTCCCGCACCGGTCGTCCCGACCGGTGCCGTCCTCGCCAGGCTTCGACGGAGACGGCAATTGGGTCTCCAACAACGGCAAGACCTGCAATGTGCGCGTGGACCGAGTCGACCACGGGGCATCACAGCATCACGTCGGCTGGAGAGTGGACACAACTGGGCCCACCCACTTCACTGATGTTTGTATCAACAAAGCTTGTGGGAGTTCTGAACGATGTTTTTTCTGGTGCAAAGCTTTGCTGGCTGAGTCGAAAGCGAAAGCTAGTCAACGTGCATGCATTCACATGAGCACTCACATTGGCACTCAACATGACATGCATTGTTCCTCCCTCTTTCCCTGTATGGCTCCAAACACATGCCTTTCCACATCCTAGCGCTTGTTGCATCGTCTTTCTTCCCTACCTCGACGCGCTGCACTGCCCATCCCCACCGGTCCAACCCGGTCCAAACCGCCCAGAAGGGTCGTTCGCCTCGGTTCCCTTCGCCGCCGGCCAGTCCCAAGCCACCGGCGGCATGCGGGTGAAAGCGCACGCGGACTGCTGGACCACCGAGACCTTGCCCGAGGCGACCGGTGACGCACCGGATGAGCGGTGACCGGGTGGGTGCGGGTGGGTGGACGATGGCCCCGTCCAAAGAGGTTCGGACGGTCGAGATGTGAGGTGAAGAAGAGTGAAAAGAAGCGACATGAGATGCTTCTTGTTACTAGTAGTGATGGCCTCCAACCTATATAATAGTGATGGCCTCCACCCAGTAGCTTCTTGCTACTAGATGGAGGTGAGATGGCCCCAGATTTGGAGGTGAGATGATTGAGAGGGAGATGGGATCATCAGAGTTGAGCAATTGGAACTCTTCCGTCGCATCCCTTCTCGATCGGTGCTATATGATGCTGTAGCCTGCAAGGGAAAAAAAACATGCAAAACGGTCTCCGGAATTGGACCTCGTGGCTCGTGTGGTCCAATTCTAAGCTACTTACAGGGCACGGTGAATCAGAGGAAGCTCCCAACAGAGTCGGCTCAAACATCGCAGATCCGAAGACCCGGTGCCAACCAATTTCCATTTGTGAACCGGCAATTCACACGACGGGCTGGATTTGTGACCGAAAAGCAAGAGAAAAGCACGGAGTCCGAACAGAAACACGGACTCCGGGGAAAGGGAGGACCGGTTCCCTCCACCGCCGGGTTCTCTCCTCCCCGTTCTTCCACCGGCCTGGCCACCGGTGGCCGCGCCTCGAGGTCTCGGGTCGTCACTGGAAGAAGGGCCGCATCACCGTGGACTGCAAAGTGGGCGATGCCATCGGCTGTACCTGCTATTCGGTCCCTCGGGCCCATAGGGGCGGAGGTTCATGGGTTTGGGTGGGACAGCAGGTCAGTGAGGTGTTCAAGGAGCTGACAAGCTGAAGCAAGGCCCAGTGGGCCACATGTAATTTGATATAATTTGATTGTAGTTGTAAGAATATGGTACTTATATAAATGTAATTAAGGACCAATCTTAATGCTATTGCCACTAGACCTCAATAATTAGCATGTGAGAAGAAGCCCGCAAGAGCCGAAATGAGCACAGTAATTCATATGTCATATTCATATTCATATTGGTCGGTTCAGGATGCTTTTCTTCGGCTCCACCTGACCAAGATGAATCAGTCCAGTCAAACCGAAACCTTTTTCTCGAGGCCTGGAGGGTGAAGAACAAGTGCTTCGCCGCGAATGGGAAGAACAGCGAAGCCAGCTTTGCTCCGGTGGACCACAAGTGTACCCGCCGGGTGGCCCAGTTGACCTTTCCTCTCTCTCTCTCTCTCCATATACGTCACGTTACCTAGAACCTGAATCATATACCTCTGTTTTTGAACCACCAATCACCCCAAAAAATGCAATTTCCGATCAAAACAGGGGTCAAATGGGTTCCAGGTGCACCTCAGAAATAAGAAGCTACTAGGGCCTCCTGGCATCGCTACTAGGAGCAAGGACGCTACTAGGGGCTCCTGGCCATACTTCTAGGAACAAGAAGCTATTAGAAACAAAACACATTGGTTTACATTTTGTTGGTGGGGTCCTGGCCTCCAAGTGCGCCCCGTGCAGGTTCGACCGGTGGCCACCGAGTGAAGGCGATCCGAAGCCGTTTGAAAGGGGGAAGTGTTGGAGTGGAACACATGATGGGATATTGTTATATGTTAAATATAGGATATTTAAGTTAATATATAATTAGTGGGATAAACATATATATTATGTATATATATATATATGATGGGACATATAGTTAGTTGAAGCAAATCATACTTCGTTCAACTAAAGTACGGGATATTTTATCATGAAAGTATGGGATATGTTACATGGCATTTGCTCTTTTAATGTTTATTGATGCTTTTGCTCATGTTGACTGATGAAAAAAAATAACGGTGGACATGTGAACATCCCGGAGAGAACGTATATTGTATTGTTTTTACTTGCTTTTTTTAAACCAACCATTCTTTTCGTCCACATTTGGGATACCTCAACCCCACCCGCAGTTCCTCACGTTTTCCGGTGATCTTCTTGATTTCAGCCATGAGGACTGGAGCTACACCAAAGGTGTGTTGAAACGTCCAAGTGGAGTTGGCCATGAAAACACTTGAATGAATTAATCATTCCACCAAGGGTGAGTATTCATAGGTCCGTAGCAAACTATTATATTTTGTTCATCATTACCTTTTGCAGAGGCGCTGCTCTGAATCATTATCCAGTGTCATCAGGGTCCAAGATCAACAACCATCTTCTCCTTTCCATCGCATAATGTAGACTCTTGATTAATTGATTTTCCAATTCAAACGGGGGTTGTAGTCAAGAATCTACATTCATCAGGAGAAATCATCCGGGTGAAAGCATTTCTGTCGCGTTCTGTCCAGTACTTCTCTCCGCAGGTCTTTGCCCTTTGCTCGCAGGCACGTCGAGCGCAGCCAGAGATTTTGGTGCAGCACAGAGTGTCAGTTAAAAAGCACAGCCAAGCACAGCACCAAGAGCTTCCCGTGATTTCCAACGCAATGGAAATCAATGCACCATGTGTTGCATGATGTGCAAAGGCACCTCGTTCTTTTCCCAAGGACCCTGCCAGGGGTACCTCCAACCGCCCCACCCCCGCCACGGGCCGGTCACGGCGCGGCCAGGAGAAGTGCGCCTCGTACGAATGCCCCGAAGGCCGAAGCGAGACATGCCCTTGTTACTTCTCGTTCCTAGTAGTGATGCCAGGAGCTACTAGTAGCGTCCTTGCTCCCAGTATCTCCCAGTAGTAATGCCCTTGTTACTAGTTACTAGTAACTACTAGTAATGCCCTTGTTACTACTACGAGTAGCTTCTTGTTGAGGCTACCCGCTGACTAACATGGAAGTGGATGGCATGGTCCCTTGGAAAAGATACTTTCCTTTACAAACGGGGTGAAATCCACTTCCACCTTGGTTGGTGAGTCGGAGTGTACCAGGCGACCAGGCGAACAGGCTACAAGAGGTAAACCGTGTTTCTCGAAAATACATTGATTGTTTGAGTCCGTGTTCGTGCTTGCAAGTGGCCGCTCATCTGCAGCTTGTGAAAGAAACAGGTCGTTCGCGTCTTAAGCTTGACACGCATCTTGATCGGCTTAAGTGTCTTAAATCCTGGTTGAGATGAACAGGAGGATCCTAAGATCTTGAGGAAACATCAGCAGCATTCCCTGAAGGAACATCGTCCCCATAAACAGACAGATAAGCATCGATCCCTCCCTCGCTACAGCAATCCGCCGACAGAAGTCAGCATTCACCCCAAGACATCTCATCGCTACGTCCATCACTCTGTTTAAGCCATCCCCACTGGGTCCATCATCTCATCCCTGGGATTAGCAAGTTTTCGTTACGTTTCGACCTTGTTCAGCCGAAAAACGGGTCTTTGTTCGACCTTTTGTCGCCATGGTCTCTGTGGGCCTCAGCCTCACTCCATCCAATCTGCCTGAGAAGGCTTTGGCCTTCACCAACAAATGCTATGTCTCGCAGCTGGACCTGCTGCAGATTTGCCCTTCCAAAGAAAGCTCTCCCGGGGCTGGTGGGACTGGCTATTACATCGAGGCAAAAGGTTGCATCTTCAGCGTCGAAGCTCACCGCGCGATGGAGCCCGGGACCATTGCCTTCAACAAGGTCCAACGAGAATTTGCTCGAATTGGACTGAACCAGGAGGTTTTTGTCAAGCAATTCCCTCTTCCCAAGGGCTTTGACCTGGGCATGTGCAAATTGGAAGTGGACTTCTTCCTGAAGCCAGCTGCCGACACCCCGAAGCTTGAAGTGAAGGATGAAGAGCTCGAGCAGATCATGCGAGCGAAGTTTCAGTTTCAGGTCGTAACGGTCGGCCAGAGCATCGCCGTCGATTACAACGGCACCCTGCTGAAGTTCGACGTGCGCAGTTGTATGCCCCCAGATCTCGGTGTCCTGGGTTTTTGCTCAGAAAACAGGTGATTCTGTTGATGTTTCAACCAAAAGCCCTATGGTAAAATCCTCTTCTGGTGTTTAAGTAGTATTATAATGTATTATATATATATATATACTATATGCGTGTTTGATTCTTTAAGTTGTTTCTCACGGTTCCTGGACAGCAAATCCAAGGTGTGGAAGGACAAAGCCAGCCCAAGGTGAACTCAGGACTCTTCGCTGCGCTCACAGAGTTGGACTTCCAGCAAGGTCCATCGGGAAAGCTTCATGTCTTGAGCAACAAGATCCAGCAAAGGAGTATCTTTAGGCCGGACTTCAACTTCGAGGATTTAGGCATTGGTGGCTTGAGCAAGCAGTTTGGCGACATCTTTCGCCGTGCCTTTGCCGCCCGCGTCTTTCCTCCACACATGATCCGGGACCTGGGCATTGGCCATGTGAGAGGCATGTTGCTCTTTGGCCCGCCGGGCACGGGGAAGACCTTGATCGCCCGGAAGTTGGCGAAGTTCTTGAAGGCCGTGGAGCCAAAGGTCGTGAATGGTCCTGAGGTGTTGAACAAATATGTGGGACAAGCAGAGGAAAACATTCGAAATTTGTTTGCCGATGCGGAGAAGGATGAGAAGACTTTGGGAGAGAACTCCCCACTCCACGTGGTGATTTTTGATGAAATCGACTCCATCTGCAAGTCCCGGGGGTCCACGCGCGATGGCACCGGGGTTCATGATAGTATCGTCAACCAATTGCTGTCGAAGATCGACGGCGTGGATTCCTTGAACAACATCCTACTGATCGGTATGACCAATCGAAAGGACTTGATCGATGAAGCTCTCTTGCGCCCAGGCCGCTTGGAGATTCATGTGGAGATTAGCCTTCCGGACGAGCATGGGCGAGTGGAGATCCTGAACATTCACACCAAGGGCATGAGGGAGAAAGGCTACCTGGAACCCGACGTGTCGATTCCCGCCATCGCGGCCAAGACCAAGAACTTCTCGGGCGCGGAGCTGGAAGGACTACTGAGGTCCGCCACCTCCTTTGCCATGAACAGGAAGGTTAGTTTCACGGACTTGAGCATCAAGGAGGGTGACTTTCGCATCTCGCCCGGAAACTTGTTATAAACCTCTTTGTTATAACCCCCCAAATAATAATGCTTTTCAATTCAAATGGGGGGGTTTTTAATCAAGAGTCTACATTAGAGAAGTTGGTTCAAGCCGGGGTGGTGCACAGCCACGGCGTAGAGAAGTGCCTGTTTTTTGTGCACAGCGAGACGATTAGACTTTAATAGACTCACTGTATCGGAGGAAGACCCCTCTGGATGACCGGAGACAAACCAGGTTATATAATGTTATATTGTTGTATATCATATATGTGCAAAAAACACAAAAGTATATATATATATAACATACTATATATATATATATACACACTGTAGTGTACAACTCTTGTTTAGAAGGAGACCAAGTGACCAAACAAGTATTCTACCATCATCCCTTTGCTCCTTTAACTGAGTGAGGTATCGGCAACGCTGATTTTGAGATGGCCCTCTCAGAAGTGAAACCAGCCTTCGGTCAACACACGGACGATTTTGAGAAGTGCATTCCCTTTGGCATCCAGGCCTTTTCTCAAGAGATTACTTACACCATGGATTCGTGCAAGAGCATCATAGAACAGGTGCGAAGCTCTACTCATACGCCATTGATGAGCGTGCTAGTGCATGGGCCCAAAGGTTGTGGCAAGACCGCCCTTTCAGCACACCTGGCACAAGGATCGGACTATCCCTTTGTGAGGAGAGTGTGTAGCGACAAGTTCGTTGGCTATTCAGAACAGGCCAAGATTGCTGCCATCGCCAATGTTTTTGAGGACACCTACAAGAGTGATTTGTCTTGTATAGTCCTGGATGATATCGAAAGGCTGATCGACTATGTGAGAGTTGGCCCTCGTTTCTCCACACCTGTGCTGGGAGCCCTGTTCGCCCTTTTGAAGAGACCACCTCCAAAGGAGAATTCTCGGCTCTTAGTCATTGGGACTGCCACGGATGCCAGTTTTTTGGAAGAAGTTGAGCTTCTCTCAGCCTTCAATGTCACCTTGCCGCTCCCAGAGTTGTCACAACCAGCCCACTACAAAGCGGTCTTGGACCCTTTGCCTGGCTTCACCGCTCCGGCGGTGCAGGAGATCAGTGCCGGGCTTGCAGGACAGCGAGTGGGCATCAAGACCTTGTTGCTGGTGGCCGAGATGGCTGTGCAGCGGGAAAACCCTGTACAGATTGGAGTTTTCAAAGAATGCTTGCAGCAATGCGGCCTTGGACTTTAGAGACGAGACCTTGAGCCGGAGCCGAAGTCTCGAGCCGGAGCCGGAGCCGGAGCTCGAGACGAGCGAGACGGGCTCCGCGCGGTCCGTACCTTCTGGGCGGTTTGGAGACATGGGTGCAGGCCTTGGAGGTGCGCAAAAAGAAGGATCGCCCGGACGAGGTCATAGACCGATGTACAGATGAACCAAAGATCTATTAGGTTTCAGTGATCCAAGGGGACTTGAACCAAAGATCATGATCTATTCAAGGGGATTAGGCTAATGTTTGGATCCGAATGTGCTCTTCGTCTTGTTACATCTTTCAGGACATAGATGGCACACAAGCCCAGGAGTTGCAAAACAAGGCACCCATAGGCACCCCATCAAAGTGCGATGGTCTTCAAGAGGTCTGTTATGACTTATCAAGCAGATTCTTCCAGAACTGACCAATGGCGCCTGCTCCACCATTCGCCAGGCTACGACCCCAAGCCTGCCAGCACCATTGGCTCCAGCACTGCTGGGGGGGCTCAGATTTGGGACCTTGTGGTGGAATTGGATGGAATAGGGGATGTGGAGAGGGAATACCCGCATTCGTCTTTGGTTGTGGACTGCTCATTCTCTTTGCTTCTCCCCAAACGTTCCAGCTTGGGGGCGCGGTCAAATGGTCCGTGGGGAGAGCTGGCGAGGGTGGATCTTTTGCCAGAAGAATGGGTACAGTACACTCTGCTGAAAAATAGTCTGGTCATGCCTGGTCTGATGTGGTTCAGACCATTTCTTGAAACAAGTTCTTTCAGCGAGCTCTCGTGACGGCCTTTCCAAGTCGATTGGATAAGAAGCCAAAGGGAGGTGGATGAAGGTGGGAATTTTCCTGTAGAATGTGGCTGGTCCGGAGAAAGGCGTGTGTGAAAACGGGTTTTCTCAATTACAAAGGGTATCACATGTTTTCACCGGACATTCCTCCTGGGTCCTGGCTTCTCAGGACAGCTGCTGCAGTGTAGTGACATGCCCTGCCGGATCTGCGGGCGAGGGAGTGCACAGCCGCTGGGCGATGATCTGAAGTGGTTCTGGACGATGGGAGGAGGGGTGATTGGCAGAAGCAGCAGTAGATGGGGCAACCATCAAAGAATGGCATCGGCATTTTGTATCAGTTTACACAGATGGGGGGATGTTCATGGATGATGTGCCATGTGAAACATTGTGAAACCTTTTGGTTGTCACCGGTTGGAGCCTTTTTGGGCATACGTTATGGTCATTTGTCAGACCTGAGAAAGGGAAGCAACTGATTGGGTCTTCAAAGGATGTGACATGTGAATCAAGATGATGCCATGATGCCATGCTTTTGATGGTGATGATGATTTGATGGACGCACCTCTTTGGTCTCCTTTGGTCGTCCGAGCGGATGGACTGGATGGATCAGCTGCTCGGCCCACAAGTGCGACCGCGTTTTGGGTCGCACTGAGGTGGATGCACCTGCCAAGCAGGTGGGGGATCGGTGTGGATCGGGCCGTCGAGCTTCTCTTTTCTGCATAGCATAGAGAACTTCCTGGAAGGGTTTGATGCTTCCCTAAGACATGTGGCTATTATCAACCTCAGGTAGGATCTCGTATGGGTTCAGCGACGGCCCTTGCAGGCTACACGGGATCCATCGAGAAGAGTGGCACTGCTCCATTCTTCAAAGGACTGACCGTAAGAAGTGGAGGGAGACCGATGGCTCATTCTGAGTCCGGAAAGCACTTTGTGCAAAACGATTACTTGGTGTCTCGGTGTCTTACAATACAATGGGACGCACCCAGGATACCCCAACCCGCTGAGGAAGCGTGGAAAGGATTGAAGGTCAACTAGGCACTATATAGATAATATATAGAGTGAAGATGTTGTTGTGTTGATTCTGTCTAGTTGCTTTGTCAATCAATACTTCCCTGAGCGGAACCCTAATGGAACCCGATTTTTGCCCCCTCGACCCGGAGGATCTTGCGATGCGGTTCAGTGCCCCAAGAACAGCCATGGGACGTCGGTGGTGGATGGCTGCACCTGCGACACAGGCGCCCTCACTGGATGAGCTAGCAAGAGCTTCGTCGCTTCGTCGAGAAGCAAGAGAACGGCCCCCCGTGATCTCCGCGCTTGGATGCGCCGTGCCCAAATCCGGAAAAACGGTGAACAAAACAGAGAAACAAGATCTGCGCCAGGCTACAGCGGTGAGATCAAGGCCTCGACGGAGAGCCCCTTCTTCACCGGGAAGTGCAAGAAGACCTGCGCACTCTACACCTGCCCCAAAGGCCCGGGGGTAGAAATTCGTGGTCCATGCAGGTCATGTTCGTGGTCCACATGTCAACAGTTCTTAAGCAGAATTTGTATCGATTTTACATGCATAACATTACTGTACATATGCATCACACACATATATATATATATATATATATCCAAGAGGGATGGTCCGAAGTAGCGATGGTTGCCCAAGAGCGTGCACTGAGGATATGGCAAAAAGGATGCGAGACACGGCAAAGCGGTGTCAAATGAATCGAATGCCCTTCTTTCCTCGAACCCTGCACAACTGCGATATGAAGCATCGCTAATGCCTTTATGAGCACAAGTGGTTTCACTTGCATCCCCGCTACCTGCTCCTCATCTTTCCGTCTTTCACTGTCCAACACCAACACACACAAGAAGCGAACCGAAGACGAAAGAAAAGAAAAGAAAAAGAAAAGAGGAACCAAGAACCCCAAACACCGAAATGGTCACATTTGTTTGTTTTGTTGTTGTGGTTCATGCGGTTGCTGTAGGGCTTCAAGTCCCTGCTGTCGCCGCTTCCTTGCTGACATCATGTTCTCGTCCGTCACCAGTCTCCATTTATAGCCCAAGGTGAAGTAGTGGTGTAATTCCTTAGCATGTCCCTTAGTCAGGCCGTTTCCTAACTGTGCCTCACTGTGTACCCATCGGAGAATAACACCTGTTTCACGCTGTGAATGTTTCAGACATAACAATTCCAGGTCAACTTTCTTCTCAGCACCCTTGATACTGAGTTCAGTGGTCTGGAGTTTATCGTATACGTTTCTGCTGTCTGAGATGAGGCATCCTGGAGTGGTCCTTACGACTGAGTCAATGTCAAAAATGTTCACGTCCTGATTGAGCATTTCACTCCACTGGAATCTAGCATGATACATGTAGTCCTCACCTGCTACTGCAGCTCTACCTTCGGCTGCACCTGGACTCCGGCATTGGCGGTCAATTTTGTTTGAATGCCAAGCAATAGGTATGACTTTTTCCACTTCTCCCTGAAGTAAAGTCAAAGGTCCCAGTCCAACAAAAATTCCCTGAGTACTGCTGCCGTCCTGTCGGTTCTGTCCCGCGGCGTCACACCAAGTAAACATTCCAACAGGAACATGTTTGGGAATGGCATGAATGATCATCACATGATCCTTGTGGGCCTTAGCAAAGTACACCAGTTTGTTAGTTTTGTGTATCGTTTCAACTGTGCTTTGACTGACTTCGGATAGGAGTAATCCGACCTCGGCGGACAGGTGAGGGGCAGTTTGTTGGGCATACCAACTGAGTGCACCGAGTGTGGCTCGGAGTTGAGACTTCTCTTTGTCTGTCGTCAACTCTCCCTTGGCCTTTCGGCGGGAAGCATTTAAAAAGATTTCCGGTATCTTTTCTACATATTTGGTCTGGCTCAAGTGGTAGGAGCCATCAGGTTGCGCCTCCACAAGCACTCCACATTGGGTGAATTTGCCTGTCTCCCAATCAGTCCACTTGAAGTGGTTTCGGATCTTCTCTTCAAGCATCTGCCACTCTTCATTATCAGGTGGTCCTGCGAAGAGAAAGTCGTCAACATGGCCAGAGATCATTCCCGTCAAAATGCCATTTGGCTTCCAGAGCCAAGTGCATGGGTCAGCCCATGATTTGACTAGGCCCAGTGTGTTCAGCAGGTCGCTAATCGTTCTGTACCATTCCAGCGGTGCATCAACTAAGCCATAACACCCCCGCTTCACACGGGTGATACTGCCTTCTGGTATGTTCATGGCGGTGCAGATTTCTTTGACTGGTATGCAGTACAATTCCTGGGGATATGTCCGGCCCTGGAGAAAAGCGCCAGTGACATCTCCCTTCTTTACACACCAGCCAAATCGTCCTGCTGCTGCAAATAGGAATTGCCTCGATTGGCGTGTCATCACTGGGGATGTCGTCTCCCTGTCTTCATATGATGGGTCTTGGTAACCCAACAAGATGGCTCGGGCCTTAGCCTTGTGAGTGCCATCATCTTGCATCTTCCAAGTGAGCAGCCATCTCATATTTATTGCCTTCTCTTTTGGAGGTCGCAGTTCTGGTGGTAGAGCCTCAAAAGCTCGTGCGGCAATGTAGTTCTTCACCTCTGTGCCTTTTGCGACTTCGAATTTCTTTTGGTCTTCAACGCTGAGCTTCTTTTCATTCACTTCAATGGCCCTTCTCTTCAAGGCCCCAATGAAATAGGCGGTGGGATCTTCTATAAACTGTTGCAGTTCTTTCTTGGTTTCTGGCATTCTCAGATCGATCTCTATGGCACTTTCCGTGTCTGCCCAGAAGCAGTCACCGGAGGCTTCTTGTCGGCTGATTTCTGTGGTACGATCATACCATGCTTCTTTGGCCACAAGAGCATCATCATCTACTGGTTGTCCATGTCGAGGTCGAGTAGGATTCGGCAGGCTTCTTTCTGGTCCATCACCAATGCGCTTTCCCAGTACTCTTCTTCTGGGTGGTTCTGAAGTCTCTGGATCTGGCATGGGAGAATCTTGAGCTTCTTGCCATTCCGTTTGGGACGGACACTCTTTGGTGAGGTCCTCAAACTCATTGCCGCCTAGTCCTTGTGTCAGGCGCTGAAAAGTCCATGGGGCTTTTTGATCTTCATCTTGACAGATGGTCTCCAGAAGTTCTTCTCGTTGTGTGGCTGGCCTCAGTTGTTCTGGGCAGCATTTGAGAAGTCTTCTTCCTCGAATCACCCAGATGCTGCTACCTGCGCGAAGACTTCCATCAGGGTCACGATGGGTCTCCGTTGCCAGAATTCTTCCGGGTCCCAAGAAGCATCCCTGCTTCTGTCGCTGACTGCTGGATGTGGCGCCGGAGATTTGTTTCCTCCAGTAGTAAACTAGGTCTCCAGGGTAGTAGACATATTGTCTGTTGCCTCTTGAGTTCAATGCCTTGGAGATCTGTTGTTTTGCCGTCCATTCTGCATGAGCCTGTTCAGCTTGTCGTCTCACCTCGATGGTTCTCTGAAAATCATCTCCTGAGGGAGGAAGCAGCTGGTCCATGGCCTGACCCGTCAGGGTCTGCAAGCATCGTCCTGTTTCATCCGGAGCTCGTCCGAGTGCATGTTGAATTGGAGAAAAACCTCGAATCATGTCTCGGACATTGAAGGTCCGAACTGCTTCGGCCAGGGCTTCTTCTGGAGTCAGTTCTGGGTTCTCAAGAACCAATTTGGTCATCAGTTCTTTGGTGCCTTGTATGGCCTGTTCGCAAGTTCCAAGCTTCCAGTGCGCTTCACCAGGAATGAAGTCCAGGTAAATTCCATGGATGTCACAGTATCGTTCTACTTCATTGCTTCGGAATGCTCCGGCGGGATCGAGCCGGAGGGTCTGAGGATTGCCAAAATATTGACTCCAACCCTCACGCAAATAAGAGATGAATTGACTCGCGTTCATGGTCTTGTGTTTTCCTTTGCACATCACTCGGGCCGTTCGAAATTGAGACCCTTCATCAATAACCAACAAAAACTCACTGTGTTCTCCAGTGTGGGGGTGTATCCACTTTCCACCATCAGCACTGATAGTGGCCCACTTAGGTGGGAGTGGTTCAAGACTAGCGGCATGTTTGTGGGTCAATTTATGTCTTTCCTGGCAAACATGACATGTGAACTGCTTGGCAAGGTGCAAAACAAAATCCGAAGCTCCGCGCTTACGAAGTGCTTCAATCATGTGTCTCGTACTTCCGTGTCCAGTGGCGGCATGCAACTGATAAATTTGTTTCTTCACACGTTCCACGTCCTCTTTGGTTTGTTTCGTGTCACTCGTCAGTTTCGTTTGCACACAAGCCATTTCGGGCGTTTCGTTTGGTTTGTTCAACAGCGTCGTTTCCAAACAAGCTCCACAAGTCTGCACATGTCCGTGTTTCTTCAGTTCACTACACACACACATGGTGCCGGAACCAAAACTCGCACACAACTGGGAGTCTCCTCCCATTTCCTTCACAAGCATACCATGGCTAAATTCCTGCTCAATGGCTTCCGCCACTCTTCTAGCAAACTCTTTGGTGTAAAAAGCACTCATGTGAGTCAACCGACCCTCACACACCACATGTTTGTCACTCTTCGGACACTTACATGGGAGATCAAGCATCATGGCCATCCTACGATGAGTGGTCATGACTTTCCAACCCTTGTGCAACAGACCTTTTCCCTTAGGGTCCCGCAAATTGACCTGACATCCATTCACCACCGAACACCAAGGTTGATATTTGTGGATAAGTTGTTGGATTAAGGGCAATCTCCACGCTTGACACTTTTGGGCCCATTCCCATGAAACATGAATCCCCTTCTGAGTGGCGTAGTGCCACACGCAAGCGGCACCGACATACTGCTTCATGACGGATCTGCGTTTTTCCGCAAGTTCCTCTCGTTGAGAGTCGGTACGTTGATTCAAATTCTGCATGGGAGAAAATGGTCCGCACTCGGTGCTGATCCAAATGCGCTTGGGATGGTATTGATCAATCTGTTGAAGGATCAGTTTGACGCCAGCAGAACTAGTAAGGTCACAGCCGTTCCAGTGCGAACACCTGATAGCGGCTTCACGGTAACCCGCTCGGTTATGGATTTCACTGCTCAACACACTGTCAGGGCTGCAAGCAATCTCCATTAACCACGTTTTTCTTTTTCCGGTCTTGTCAACAAGACATTGAAACATACGTGGTAGGTTTCTATGTGTTTCCTGTTCTAGGTGCCGAGCAGCTGCCTCAGAGAGTTGGCGTGTTGTCACTGAGCTGGTTACGGGAAGGTGGACGCTATCTAAGGTCTCAGCCGAGTCACTCAGATCTTCGTGAAGCTGTCGTCTGAGCCTGGTGTCTTGTGGGCCCTCTTTTGGCTGGAGAGTTCCGCCTTGAGTTCCTTCACGGTCTCGGTGAGGATTCCCATCATTTCCATGACTGCCGTGGACGAATTGGCACTCCCAGCTGAGCTGGCTGCTGACTCTTGCTTCACTCGAACACGCGTTGGAGCTGGTGTCACCATGGGTGTGGGCTCGTCGTGATGATAGCCCTGTGTCTTCACAGGGAGGATCTCGGCATCCTTGGAGTCGAACATCTTGCGCTCCTCGGCAATGAGCCATTGGGCAAGGCGACCCAACTGGGGGCAACATCCCTGCGGGTCTTCCTTCCATGTAGTCCGGACCCAGTTGCAGTATTGGGTGTCGGACCGGATCTCTGCATAGGTCAGAGCTGCTGCCTTCCCAAAGCCCACCGGGTCCATTGGGTCCGGTGTACTCTTCTCGTAGATGCGGATCATGGCGGCTTTCTGAAGTTGTGGTTTGGTCTCGTTTCCAGTCACTGGAATTCCCAAGTCGCGGCAATGCTGCTGCAACGTGTTCTTCCGGCTGCTGGCCTTGTTGAGCTGCACCACCATCTCGCGCATGTCGGTGCGCTGATTCTTCTTGGTGGGAATGCCGCGTTCCTCGTAGATCTGGAGGACCCGTGCCCGCAGTTCGACGACTCCCCATTTTTCCGGAGGAGTCTCGCCCTGCTTCCTGAGCGCTTCGATCAACTCGGACTTCTTCATTTGGCTCACCATGATGATCGAGACGCTGGGGACCGCCAGGACAACACGTCGAGCTCACGATACTTGGGCTGCTGCTGCATGCGTGTCCGGTGTTCAAATGAAAAACGTGACAAATGTGACTATTCACACAACCAAAACTGAACCTAACATCATCAAAGAAAGAAGAAATGCACGTTCGAATCGACGGATCACTCAGGATATCGCGGAAAGATGATTCACAAAGCCTCATTGGAACCTGATGTTCACCCTTGACCTCTCTTTCTCTCTCAGGCTGAAGATCAGAGAGGAGCTGTCCCTAATGCAGGAAGTCCCTGAGGCTTGGGACCTGTCGATTGCAGGTCTTCGCATGTTTAAAAAGATCCTCGGTCAAAGGCAGGAGCTGGTGTCCTGCTGCCGAGCGCTCGAGGGGGATGATCTTCGTATCGTCAAGTCCCCTCAGTACCAAAAGGTCGGCCTCAAAGTCTATGATGGCCTTCAACGATCGGAGCGTCTGGATGGACAACAGGATTGGACCACTTCCACGATCCAGAGCATGGATCTGCAGCAAGCCTGGTTGCTCATTCGCAGTAACCTGCAGCTGAGTCGTAGAGATGCAGCGGTCTTGAGAGCTGTTGCCAAACCCAAAAGTGGGTGTATTGTTGGTGTCTACTCCTTGGATGCGATGGTTGCCGTACTTCTTGGCATTGATGTCCATGACGGCCTGGATAGCCTCGACGCTCCCCAGCGTCTTTGTGGCTCCACCGTCAATTACGGCGCACCCCTCATTCACAGCTGCCTGTGTAGTTTTGGCCGTCCCAGCTTCTGCGGTGAGGGCTGCCTCATCGCTGAAGCAAATGAATGGTGCTGCTTCAGTAGCCACATGGCTCTGGGGCTTTCCATCGGATCCTTGGCGCTCTGGGCATTCATTGGTGCGGTGTCCCTTCCCGCATCGCAAACATGTCTCCGAGGTTGATGAACTTGGAGGCTTGTGGTAGGAGAACATGGGCCGGTCTCCATAGGACCGTCGGCTGGTGTTTGTGGTCTTGTAGTACTGTCGGCTCAACTTGACTTGGTGTTGTCGTGCCCGAGCTTCTTTCAAAGTGCGCTTGCCTTGTTGGATCAAGGCGTATGCCTCCTGAGCGCGCTCTTCGGCGGCACTGTATAGTGCCTGTCCTTCACCATTGAGGTCATCCACCTCCCATGCTTCCTCCTGGTAATCGATGAAGTCCGGCTCATAGTCACCCCCATCATCAGCCCAAAAACCGGCATGTCGGGAGTTCTGGTCATGCCGCCGGAGTTCTTCATCCGGCCACTGAAGTCGGAGTTCACGAGAAACTCGCTGTAGAGAGAAGTCATCCTGGAGGGCCGTTTGGATCATGTTCCTTTCTGTGCTCTCTAACCCGGAGTCCATCAGGAGATACCACCCCTGAAGAAACTCAGGCAGCAGTTCCTCTGTATGGAGCTTCCATGGTTCATCATCGCTCTCTCGACGTGAGTGGTGCCAGGAGTTTGAGGCGGGTGCTTCGCTCATGGGTTCATACCACTGTTCTTCATCACCGGGGTGGTCACTCTCAGCATGGTCCTGTGAGTGTGGTTCAGGATTGTGCCATTGCCAATCCTCCCAGGTGTTGTGACTCCAGGTCATGGAGTCCCTACGCTCCCAAGTGTGGTGCCTTGGTTGGTGCCTCTGACCATAGAACTTCTGTACTCGAGCTAAGGCTTGCCGAGCACGATGGTACACCTCAGTCTTTCGGGTGATGTAGGTGTTCATGGTCTCGAACTTCTTCCGGCGGCTCTGGCGGAAGTAGCGATTCAAAAACTCTGTCAACTCTGGAATCGTGGGCCTCCCCAGGCATTCGCGAAGGTGTTCCAGCAAGTGTTGGACACCTCCATTGAATGACAACCACTGCGGCCGTTTTCCTGTGACATGCTTCCGAGCTGGTCCCGAGAGCTCGGCCACCAACTTTGGTCCAGCTAGGTATCGTTTGTGGTAGGGGATGCTCTGTTCCCACTGGAGGGCTTGTTCTTCGTATTCTTGGTAAGTGGAGGCATCTCCATTCCACTGTGGTACCCCATCTTTGGAGCGGGTCACTTCGGAGCTATTCATCTCCCCTTGTATCTCGGCAGGTGTTCGACGTGCCGAGCGTCACAACTAAGGTCCCTGGTTGAACCTAGAAAACTAGGCTCCGCGCTACCATCCAAGAGGGATGGTCCGAAGTAGCGATGGTTGCCCAAGAGCGTGCACTGAGGATATGGCAAAAAGGATGCGAGACACGGCAAAGCGGTGTCAAATGAATCGAATGCCCTTCTTTCCTCGAACCCTGCACAACTGCGATATGAAGCATCGCTAATGCCTTTATGAGCACAAGTGGTTTCACTTGCATATATATATATATATATATGCACATACTGCAACCAGTCGTTGCAGGAGCTGCAATTGGGGTCCCCAGAAGCTCATCGGATCAAGCAAAAAAACATATATTTAACAACCTATGTTTGACTCATTCGTTGGCATTTTGTCGGTGCATGCCCGCATGCCCTGGTTGTGCACATGCCTTATATAAGCCTTAATCTGTTCAGAACATCTCTTCGAAAACAAGAACAACGGCAGCCCACTTTGAGTGTCTCCTTCTTCCCGTCAGCGACGGCTCCAGCACTGCATCTCACTGCTTCTCACCGAGGTTGGAAGCCGAAGGCGGATAGCGTGGTGGGTGCCTCGCGCAAGGCCTGCTGTGAGCTCGTCAAGTGTCCCTCAGGCACGGGACGCGCCCGGAGTTCGTGGGAAGGCGATGAGGAGTCGGGCCGTTTCGCTGTTCGTGGACGTGGCAGCGGGGCGAGCTTCAAAAACGGACCGGTGTTTGGTTCTTGTGGGCTGTTCAGATGCCCAGTCCATTCGCTCCATGGTGGAAGCAGAGACTACTTGACTATAATCCGACAATCCAATTTGGGCGTCTCCTGTGCCGCCCTCCCCTTGCATCGCACACATCGAAGTGACCGCTGCGCCCTTCTGCCCCGCGATGGCCCGATCGGAGCCGAAGGCTCAACCAAGTACTATCAAGTACTCAAAGACCAACCATGACCAACCATTCCACGCCCTCGAAAAATGCTCTGCCCCCAAAATACAAGGTGCATGACGCACATCACCATATTTGCCAAGACTCTACTTGAGCTTCAGGTTATCACGATTCAACCCATTACAATCCTAGATTTTTAGACTTCTCCAACTATTGAATTGGGTTTTTGTTTTTCAACACCAGTACCATCCAACACCCCCTTAAACATCCTTAAACCGTTTCTATTTTGAACGACCAGGTCGGCCCCGTGGGCCTTTGATGACCGGTTGTCGCCGGTTGTCCCAGGTTCGAGTGGCGAGAGCGTGGTGGACGGTTGCAGCTGCAAGGCCGGCTTCTCTGGCACCATCAGCTCGGATCGCCCAGCCGAGCCGAGCCCAGCGGAGGGAAGCTGAGGGAAGGGGAAGCTGAGGGAAGGTGAAGACCGCTTCACACACAGAGAAACGACTCCCGGCCTTTGGGATGTCCCTCTGGACGGATGATTTGGGATAGTCTGAACATTGCGAGAGGACGCGGAATTCCATGCCCAAGCTGCTGGAACCTGCTACACCCTGAACGCCAACTTGAGGAACTTGTTGTCCCTCCAATGTTCCGGGGAGTATGAATTGCAGCTTTATAGTGACCAACAACGTGAAACTCACAGAAGCATTCATTGCCTTCGCTACTTCCATCCACTGGACTGACTCGTGTTGCTACAAGACAAGGGCTAAGGACATATGGCACAATGGCATTTTGCATCACCCACTTTTCCCTCCTTCGTGCATGATGACCGAATGGCCCAGAGTGCCTTCTGGCACAGACCAAGATGTTGGACCGCTGGACCGTTTGGAGGGCCAGCCGAAACAATGCATCTCCACCCGCCTTCGGGAGGTCATGCGATCGTTTCTGGGCCAGCCAGAGCTCATTTTGGGCAATTGCGGCTGGAGTTTATTCAGGTATGGTCCCTTCTTGGTACATCATAGTGGCACGCTCCATCTTTCCCAAGCTGAATCTGTGGTAAGTTCCACCATGAGATGCCTATCTCGTGGTCTTTGATTGAAGAAAGAAGGGCTGGGAGGATTGATGGAGCTCTCGGCCCCAAGGTGCCTCCAGTGCCAGCCCGTACTACACTGGGTGCGCAGCCCAGAGAGCACTGGCGGAACTTGGCTGTTGGGAAGATCGGCTGAACTTTGCAGCACATGGTGGTGGTGCCTTTGGGGTGGAACCTGGCCCTGTAAAGACGATCTTAGGTGCTGATATGACAACTGTACCGATTTTCCTGCAGTGTAGACAACGGGGCGATGACTCGGAAGAAAGGGGGGTCATCCGCCTCGGAAGAACGGGGGTGGGGAGTTACTGACACACTCCTTGTTCGTCTCATCACAAATACAGGAGGATGACCTGCATGTGAGGAAAGGATGACCTCCATGGACGTCACGCGGAAGGCATGTTCGCGGCAGCTGCAGGTCCTGCAGCTCAGTGCAGTGCCCCAGCCACTCGGAGGGCGCCAATGTGCCCAAGGGATGCAGCTGCAAAGCGGGCTACAAAGGCTCCATCGAGGCCGCTGGACCATTTCATCGTCGCCGCGCAGACAGAGAAATCGGGCATATCGAAGATCAGAGGGCCGGCGCGTAGCTTTTTTTGTTCCCCGTTTTTCCTATTTTTTCCTGTGGTATCGGGGTATTTGCAGGTGGCTATGATTTGGGCAGTGGTTTTTGGTCTGAACTTTTGGGGAAGCATGTTTGGATCTCTTTGATTCTCTTTGATCTTTTTTGAGAGATCAGGCAAGTATCAAAGAGATCCAAAAAAAGAGGAGGCCAAAAAATCACTTCCCAGCCTCACTTCTCTTTTTTTGAGGCTGTGTATTTGCAGCGGAGAGCTGCTGTCCACTTCTCCCTCAACACATCTTCTCTGAATGTTGGCAGGGCCTTTCGTGCAAGCCATCGGTGGAACCCCGCCCTCAGGGCCCCTTTCAGATCAGCCAACTAAGGATCCCTTTCAGGTTCGAAGCAAGTGTTGTCAGATCAGTCAGAACCGCCCCGGCTCGGAGAAACTCGTCTGGTTCTCGGCGGTTTCGGAGTCGTTGTGTCCCAGAAGGAGGTCGCCGTCGACGCATGCGTCGTTGAGCGTTCGTGTCGGAAGGCTTCGACCACGGATCCCTTTTACACCGGCGAGTGCTCGGCGGTGGCCTGTCCCGCGAATTCTGCCGGCACGGAAGCCTCGACCGCAGAAATGGCCGGAGGTAGGGTCTAGACGTTTCCTTGGAGAACGAGGGGCGTGGTGGTGGGTGGTTCGGTTAGAGTTAGAGTGTGTGCAGTGTGGTTGTTGTTTTCTGAACTTGTTGATGTTAGGTTTGTTAGTTAACACATGTTAACACTGTAGTTGGAGAGGCTCAACCACCCCGTGGTGACCTTGGAAGGAACTTCTGAACAGTTGACCCAACGACAGAATTCACTTTGACTCTGCCTGCATTTTGAGGTCTACAAGGACTCACTTTCCTTGATGCACTTATTGTCGGTCACTTCCTGCTCCAGCAGAATCCCCAAACGTCACAACCAATGCAAGTCTATCATCTGTGTTTCTCAAGAGAAAGAAATCACACATGTTATGTACTGACAGTACAATGTTCGGAAGGTAAGCTGGACAAACTAACACCTATTAAAATTGTGTGTCTTCCACCACGGTCTTCCATCTTTGAGACATCCTTTAGCTACACGCTGCCCCCAGGAAGTACGTACATGCATTCTTTGTTTTGTCTCAGTGAGCAGGGGCGATCGGCCATGGCGATGCGGATCTCAGTTTACCAGTTGAGTGGTGAGGTTATCGAGCTTGAAGTGATGCCAGATGACACCGTCTACGACTTGAAGCAGGTGCTGAGAGCACTGCAGCCTTCGGAAGACGATGTCATACGTGCCACCTCTCAGGTAGAGGTTCTTCTAGACGGCCAGACATTGAGAGAAAACAATCAAACCCTAGCGGAGGCAAAAATCTCTTCCATGACGGAACTGCACGTTCTTTTCACCATTTGCACAGTGGAGTGCTATGACAAAGTAACATTTCTACGAGGATGTGACCGTCATCGACCTGGCGGCTTAGTCTTGGTGAAGATCCCTGACTTTGTAACCTACATTCGACCCTGTGCACTGGAAGGTTGCTCGCTGATCGGAGGCTTGACACTGCCGCAGTCGGTGACGACGATTTCCTTCAGGGCTTTTCGGTGCTGCACTTCGTTGATAGGCTTGACCATCCCTAGCTCGGTCACAGACATTGGAGAACGTGCATTCGAACTCTGCAGCTCGTTGACGAGCTTGACACTTCCCAACTCTGTCACTTCTGTGAAGAACTACACCTTTGCAGGCTGTAGCTCTTTGGTCGACTTGTCAATCCCCGATTCTGTGACGGACATTGAGCAAGGTGCCTTCGAAGCCTGTAGCTCTTTGGCCAACTTGTCAATGTCCCGATCAGTGACTGGGATTCAGCCAAGTGCCTTCGCAATGTGCAGTTCCTTGACAACCTTGACATTGCCTGAATCTCTTCGGCTCATTGGTGAACGTGAATTTTCAGATTGCACTTCTTTAAGAAGCGTGACCATTCCGAACTCTGTGACCTTTATCGGCACATGTGCATTTTCAGGCTGTTGCTCTTTGGTGGGTGTGGAAATCCCAAATGTCACTGACATTCAGCCAGGTGCATTCCAAATCTGCACTTCATTGACAACCTTGACAATACCTGACCCTGTCACTCACATCAGAGAGTGTGGGTTTTCAGGTTGCAGTTCATTGAGAAGCGTGACGATCTCAAGCTCGGTTAGTGTCATTGGGGCTTATGCCTTTTCAGTGTGTTCCGCTTTGGTCCATGTAGCAATCCCTCATTCAGTGTCCAGCATTCAGCAAGGCGCATTCCTAGCCTGCAATTCATTGCAAACCTTGACGTTGCCTGAGTCTCTCACCTGCATCGGAGACTGTGCATTTGCCGGCAGCGCATTAGCAACTTTGAGGTTGCCTCAGTCTCTTGTTTCTCTTGGTGAACGTGCATTTGCAGGCTGCAGTTCATTGAGAAGCGTGGTCATCCCTAACTCATTTATTGGAGCGCAGGCCTTTTCAGGTTGTAACTCATTGGCAGACGTGTCAATCTCCGATTCTGTGATAGAGATTCAGCCAAGTATGTTTGAAAACCTCAGCTCATTGACAACCTTGACGTTGCCTGAGTGTCTCACTTCTATTGGTGAACGTGCGTTTGCAAGTTGCACTTCATTGAAAAGCGTGACTCTCCCCACTTCTGTTAGTTTCATTGGGGCATTTGCATTTTCATGCTGTAGCTCTTTGGCCAACTTGTCAATGTCCCAATCAGTGACTGGGATTCAGCCAAGTGCCTTCGAAAATTGCAGCTCGTTGACAAAGATGAAGTTGCCTGACCTACTCACATCCATTGGTGAATGCGCATTTGCAGGCTGCAGTTCATTGAGAAGCGTGACCATCCCTAACTCTGTGACCTTTATTGGCGCGTGCGCTTTTTCACGCTGTTGCTCTTTGGTTGATGTGGTATTCCCTCATGCTCTGACCGATGTTCAGCAAGGTGCATTTCAATCCTGCAGCTCTTTGAGAACTTTGATATTGCCCGAGTCCCTGACTTTTGTCGGAAAGTGCGCTTTTGCAGACTGCAGGTCATTGAGAACAGTGAAGATGCCCAGCAGTGTCACCTTCATTGGGGCCTACGCCTTTTCAGGTTGCTGCTCTTTGGTCGACGTAGCAATCCCTCATGGAGTGACCGACATTCAGCAAGGTGCGTTCCAAGCCTGCAATTCCTTGCGAACCTTGAAGTTGCCCCAGTCTCTCGCCTGTATCGGAGACTGTGCATTTGCAGACTGCAGTTCACTGAGAAGCGTGACAATCCCTGACTCTGTGACCTTTATTGGCTCATATGCTTTTCCTTGCAGCTGCTCCTTGGGTGGCCATCATTTGAGATGCTCACCAACCGGTGAGTCGCGGTTGGAGTGCGACCATCACCGGTCGGCCCGAGACATGTGAGGTGGGAGGCAAACGGCCTGGGTTCAGCGCCTGGATGGTCGGGGATGGAAGGACACCCGGTTCGGACGGTTCTTCGTCGCGGGCTTGGTTGTTTAGAGGGGTTGGATCATCTTCTGCCAAGCTTAGGTTTGAAGCCCAAGCTACTAGAAGGTACTATAGAAAGACATGGGCATAGATGGCGTAGTGCATTCTTCATACCTTTCTTGGCGCCGTTCAGAGAACCCTTATGTATACAAACCCTCTTACTTTGGTTGCGGTCCCTCCAGAGATACCGGTCTCTTCGGCCGAACAACACCAAGGATGTGCCCAGTGGCTGCGCGTGCCTGGCCGGTTTCAGCGGCTTGGTAGCGGCCTCGTCGAAGAAACCCTTCTTCACCGGTGGTTGCGCCTCTGTGGACTGCCCAGCCCACAGCGAGGGGAAGGATGTCGCCAGTGGCTGCAGCTGCCTGCCCGGGCCGCTGGGCCGAAGCGGCTTCGGGCATGGGAGGGGCCACCATGAAATCGTTTTTGGTACAGAGAAAAAGAACATGTCAAGCAGAATGCCGCCCTTGTTTCAACGTAACCTAAACTCCCAATGCCCAACTGTTTTTGAGGGGAACTAGACCCAAAACCCCTTGGGTTGGCAGACAGGTCTCTTTGGAGACGCTACCCGCCTTTCTGGAGTCTTTTGGACTCCAACCTTTGCATTTCTTGTGAGGTTTGCGGGCAGCATCGGTGCAGCAGCTTGGCCTTTTTAATACCGAAACCCAGGTGGCCGAAACTGAGGCCTTCCCCACCCCCTGATCATCCCTGATCCAATGATCGTATTTTTCATGACGAGTGCATAGTTCATGAGCATCTGAGCTTGGGATGGCCACCCTTTTTGTCCACTTGTTAGGTGTTCATAGGTTTTTAGAGAACTTCCTAGAACTTCAATGCTAGGAAATTGTAGCATATTCCATAGACCCATGAAGGTGACAGCTGTATGGACCTCAGAGTCAAATACATCGGCTCAAACCAATGACATCCTCAACATCTCTCAATGCACCTCCGCCGTCACTCATCAAATCCCCATCACTCTCACCTACTGGTGAATATGCCCCCGTGCAACAGATCAAAGAAGCTGGTCGCTTCCACTGATGATTTCAACGATTTTGTCAGGCAAGAAGCAACCCTTCAGTCAGCCTGACCAGCCCAAAGACCTTCGAAACGGAGGTGGGTGGAGCCGTAGAGATTCGTTAAGGAGCCCGCGTTTCAGAGCCAAAGTCCAACAGAAACCGATTTCCAAGATGTAGAGGATTCACTTCTCTATCGGCTGTTGGATATCTTTCTACCAAAACCAACCCATCCCAAAAGCCACCCGCCAAAAAGACCCCGTTTGCGCATGCTTAGCTCCTGACTAAGACCACGGCCTCGCCCTTCTTCGTGGGCGAATGTACTGCCGTGGCCTGTCCAGTTCACTCCACAGGACACTCGAAGCGCGGTCGAAGCGCGGTCGAAGCGCGGACGGCGCGGTCGAAGCGCGACGTTTGGACACGTCTCTGTTTCGGAGGAGGGAAGGAGGGTGATTGGTGGTTGGTGGGTGGCGGATTGTGCCCGTAGACGGCTAAGTACAAGTACAAGCCACTCCAGGCCTGGAGATAACAACACATCCCGGATCAGGGGTGTTTTACATGGTTGTACTGATCAACAGTTGACATGATGTGTGCACATCAAACTTTGTGAAACTTGCAATCAGAAGGTAGAAGGCTAGAGATCGAGTCTGCAATGTCATGGAATTGGGCTTGTGAGACTCTCCAGCTGGATAATCATCTAAATCTGGTAAACCCGAGTAGGTGGCACAACACGCAAGAGGTGCTTCATCATATTTTGGAATATATTTACCAGGCTACCGCCTGCAGCCGCCGACCCCCAAGGGATAGAA